TGCTGATTCTAAAATTCTCTCTTTCATTTTAATCTTGGCTAATGTAATTATGATGTGCCTTGGTGTGTTCTTCCTAGGGTCCACCTTCTTTGGGACTCTCTGAGCTTCCTGGACTTCCTGGAAGTCTGTTACCTTTGCCAGATTGGGGAAGTTCTCCTTTAGTATTTGTTCACATAGGTTTTCCACTTGTTGCTGTTCCTCTTTCCTTTCTGGTACCCCTATAATTCGGATGTTGGAACCTTTAAAGATGTCCTGGAGGTTCCTAAGCCTCTCCTCACTTTTCTGAATTGTTGTTTCTTCATTCTTTTCTGATTGGGTGTTTTTTTCTTCCTTCTGGTCCACTCCCTTGATTTGAGTCCCAGTTTGCTTCCCATCATTATCGGTTTCCTGTACATTTTCCTTTATTTCACTTAGCATTGCCTTCATGTTTTTCATATAATTTGTGACCAAATTCAACCAATCCTGGTAGCATTCTGATTATTAGTGTTTTGAACTGTGTATCTGATAGGTTGGCCACCTCTTTGTCACTTAGTTGTATTATTTCTGGAGCTTTGATCTGTTCTTCCATTTGGGCCATTTTTTTTTTTTTGTCTTGACACACCTGTTATGTAGTAAGGGGTGGAGCCTTAGGTGTTCACTGGGGTGGGGTAACCCATGTCACTGGGCTGTGACACTGTATGTGGGGCAGGGGTCTGAGAAAGAACAATGGTGCTTGCTCTGCTCTCTGCCAGATTTCAGTTACTTCCCCCCACTTTCCACAAGGAAATTGGGCCCTCCTGGAGCTGATTTCTGGGTGGGTTGGCTTGTGTACGTTCTAGGACTCTGTGGGTCTCTCCAACAAACTCTCCTGTGAGGCTGGGATTTTCTCTTGGCACCTCAGCCCTCACAGGTGTTATCAGTTAGTATTTTGAGGTTTTATTTCCCTGCACTAGGACCCTGGGTTGAGTGTTCTGTTCCACTAGCCAGTTTTGCCTGGTTTATCTGCTCGAGAATGTGGGACCGCCCAGTCCACCAGCCGCCTTGCGTGCCGTGCCTGTTCCACAATCCACCGCCTTGCTGGGTCTGCCAGACACCACCCTTCATGCTGTCCTATTGGTCTGGACTAATGTGTCTTCTTTAACTCCTTGGTTGTCGGACTTCTGTACAGTTCAATTTTCTGGCAGTTCTGGTCAGTTTCTTTAAAATGTTGTTGTCTTTCTTTTGGTTTTGCTAGGAAACACAGTGTATCTACCTATGCCTCCATCTTGGCCAGAAACCTCTCTTTCAATTTTAAATGCTAGCCTTGCTGGGTAAAGTAGCCTTTGTTGTAGATCCTTACTTTTGATCACCTTGACAATTTTATGCCGATCCATTCTGGCTTGAATTGTTTCTGTTCAGGAATCAGGTGACAGTCTTGTTGGAGCTCCCTTGTAGATAACTAATGGCTATTTTTGTTGTTTTTGCTGTTAAGGTTTTTCTCCTTGTCTTTAATATTTGCCATTTTAATTATAATGTGTGTTGGTGTGGGCCTTTTGGGGTTCATCTTGTTTGGAACTCTGCATTTCCTGGATTTGTGTGCCTTTTTCTTTCACTAGGTTAGAGAACTTATCAGTCATTATTGCTTAAAATGTGTTCTTGATCTGTTGTTCACTCTGTTGTCCTTCTGGTATTCCCATTATGTAGAGCAGGGGTGTCAAACTCATTTTCAGCGGGGCCCACATCAGCCTCCTGGTTGCCTTCAAAGGGTTGAATGTAATTTTAGGACTGTATAAATGTAACTACTCCTTAACTAGGGGCAAAGAGCTGCTGGCCTGGATAAAACAAGGTAAAGGGCTGGATTCTGGTGGACCTTGTGATGTAAGTGGTTGTTATGCTTCAGTTGTCATAAATGTTTGTGTTTTAAATTTTCTAAATTTTTTTTCCTGCTTTACTTAGGTGTTTTTTTCTACCTTGCCTTCCAGATCACTAATTTGATCATCTGTTTCATCTTACCTGCTTTATTCCTTCTATTTATTTTAGAGGTTGCATTCTTTATTTCTGAATGGTCCTGTTTTATGGTTTCTATCTCTTTTTTCATTCTGTTGCGCATCCTTATAATTGTTACTTTAAACTCTGTATCTGATAAATCGCTTGCCTTCATTTCATTTAGTCCTTTGTCAGGAGAAATCTTTTTTCATTTGGGGGTTGTTTTATTATCTTTTTTCTATGTATTAGGTCTGCAAAGACTTTGCTACGTTGTATGTTAGACACTTCCTGTGACTAGTCCTAGATAGCCTGTTTGTAGCTACCAGCAGTCCAGGGCATGTTGCTCCATTGATGTGTACAGAAAGAACCAAGCTGGCCACCATGACTGGCTTTTACCAGCACCTGGCCTTGGGAAGGATCAGGTAAAGTCTCAAAGCTCCCAGAGATTCTCATTTACCTGCAGCCTTTCTGTTAGGTTTAATCACTGAAAGTGCCTCCAGTTGTACTTTTCAGCAGCCTGGCTAAAGCTTCACAGGGTGGGTTGAGAGGGATTCCTGTGAGTGGGGCTCTTGCCTCATGGAGGCGGATGCTGTACCCAAGAAAGAGGGTTTCTGCAGTATGGGGAATGACCGAACACAGAGATCCTTGCTGCTAACCTTTCAGCTCCCTAGAGCCACCAACCCCAGATCCTCTTCATTGGCACTAATCTGTTCTGCCCTCCCTTTGCTAGAGCCCAGGGTAAGTGGCTGCAAACAAAATTTTGTGTATTGGCCCTTTAATGGGCTCTCTGCATTCTACCCCTCTCTCCCTGGCAGACAGAAACCTTAGTCCTTTTCACAGTCAGATATTTGGATTTCTTCACTGGTGTTGGTGTTCTAGGCTAGGGGGCCCAGCTTGGTGTTTAGAACTCACACTTCTCTGCAGAACCCACCACTGGCCACTGAAATATCCCTTTGGAACGTCAGCTGCCACCTGGATAAGCCCAGCTAGCTCTCTTCTGCCTCTCTACACAGGAAATGTAGTTTCTTGTGTAAGTCCTTGGTTGTAAGGCTTTCCTCCAGCTAGTGTTCAGTAGCTTATTCAGCATGACTTTTCTATAATTTAGTTGTAATTCCAGTTTGGTCCTGGGAGGAGTTAAGTGTAGCTTCCACCTACTCTACCATCACACTGAATCTCATCAGTATAGTTTCTTGCAAAAGTTTATGTAGCTTTATAGTATCTTAAAGTTATTTCAAATGCAGTTACTCCATTTTGTGTGATGGTGAGCTAAGATACAATTAATTTTTTACAGTAATTGAAGTATTCTATTTTTTAGATTTTATTTATTTATTTTGAGAGAGAGTGGGGAAAGGGAGGAAGAAAAGGAGAGAAACATCAATGTGCAGGAGATACATTGATAAGTTGCACTTCCTCAACTGAGGTCCTGGCCCGCAACCAAGGCTGGGAATTGAAATAGTGACCTTTCGGTTCACAGGCTGGTGCTCAGTCCACACTAGTCAGGGCTGATAATTAGCATTTTTATTCATAAGATGGTGTTCATATGTTCAGGTTTCTATAAATATTGTGAAATACCTAAAGTATTTAATGCTTGCGTAGCAGACAATGTCAAATTGATTTTATTTAGAATCAAACCTATGAATGATTAAGAAATAAAAAATAAAGCTAAGAGTATTTTGTAATATGCCATTGATTTCAGGTACTGGGATTAAACCCAGAATTATCAATGGCTGAGAACACCAGATTCAGCTCCAAATTTCTGTCCTAATCTTTATACCTCTTTTACATCTTTCCATGAAGAGAAGTATTTCTTATATCAAATTTTTTCATTATAAGAAGAAACTGCTAAAAATGTCTTCAAGACAGCTCAACTCATATCTAAGTTTCAATTTCAGTTATTCTTCCATTTCAACTTGGTGTGGTTACTTGTCTTTGCAGTTTCTTTGTAGTGTTCTTTGTTTGATACAAGAAGAGGAAAAACTTTCCTATTTTCAGAATCCTTTAGAATTTTTTGAAAATGAAGTTTGAAGAGGTAAAGTTGTTTGTGTTCTCCCCCCTCCCCTCTTTTTTTTAGTGTCCCTCCATCCTTACCTTAATGTACATTGGAAAACAGTTATTGGGCGTAACCATTTAGTTTTCCATTGGAACCATTTGATATGTTTCTGAGTGTCTACTTAGATTTTTTTGCCAGCCTGTCACTGATTTTCTTATTAATAATCAAATCTAAAGACTTCAATATGTATTGCTCTGAGTTTTTAGTGTTGGGATGATTAGAAAAACAGAAACGAAAAATAGGGAACAGGAAACTAATGAATAGGCACTTGTTCAAGGAATCCATTACTAGCTGGCTGAGATCTTTAAGAAGTTGGCTATGGAAGGAGATGAAGTGACTGATTATAATGGTAACTGCTTGCTATTATGTGTTAGGAAGTGAGGTGGTTAATTATCCTGTATGCTGTTTGAAACCTTTGAAAATAAGTATTTTATAGTTAGCTAATAGTATTATTTTATTTGTTATGTACAGTTTGGGACTTAAAAATTATTGGAACATGACAGCATTTTACTTACTATAGTAAAAATGATTCTGGGGGTCAGGTATGTATTTTTGAGCACTGAGGGTTAGAAATGTAAGCACATCTTTTTGTTTTGGGGGTATCTCATTTTGAGTTATGACAGGCATTACACTAGGCAAGAATACTATATCTTAAGACTCACTTAAACTTCAACTTTTAATAAGATGATCTTGTGACATGTACTGAGAACCATGTTGATCCAAGATACATGTTAATATTTTCCATTGGGAAATCAACTTTTTTACTTGTGGTGTTGGATTTTACTTATTAGTTACTGTGAATGAATGGTAATACTTCTAACTGAAAAATTTTTAATGGGAAAAATTTTAAGGAATATTTTGAGCCATTTTATTATTTTGAAGTAAATCTAGCTTTATGTCTATATGCTAAACTTTTTATTTTGGTTGCCTTACTTTATTACTTTATTGAATATGTAGGGGAAGAAGAAACTGGGAATTTTTAAAAGAATAATTTTTTTGTTGTTAGCTTTTTAGTTGGAGAAGGAGCCTACAGATGGGCAGTAGATCATGGAATACCCTCTTGCCCTCCTAACATCATGACCACAAGTGAGTAAAAACTTTTCAAAATTAAGCTATATTAGCATATATACCTGAGAGTATTACATTGCTTTTGACCCATATATTACTGATATTAAAGGAAGAAACCTTATATGTTGAAATATTTCTAGGTAAAAAACATAGGAGGTTATTTGATTTTAAGCCACATTTGTATTCCTGAGGTCCCTACATTGCTGTCTTAGGCTTTTATAGAAGTATTGCTGAAGAATTCCTTTTAGGTTACTTTAATTGCTAATAATAAAACTATTATACCATGCCCTTAGAGAGAGACAGAAAAAAACATAGATCATTATTTAACTGTTACTGAGCTGAGGAAGGCCTTTTTTAAAAATTTTTAAAATATATTTTATTGATTATGGTATTACAGTTGTCCCATATTCCCCCTTCACTGTCCTCTGCCCTGCATAACCCTTCCCATCCGCATTCCCCCCCTTTAGTGTATGTCTGAGTCGTAGATATAAGTTCTTTGCTTCTACATTTTCTACACTATTCTTGGCCATCCCTTTTCTATTTTCTACCTACCATCTATGCTACTTATTTTCTGTATCTTTTCCCCCTTTCCTTTCTCCGCTCCCACTCCCCTGTTGCTAACCCTCCATGTGATCTCCATTTCTGTGGTTCCGTTCCTGTTCTAGTTGTTTGCTTAGTTTGTTTTTGTTTTAGGTGTGGTTGTTAATAACTGTGAGTTTGCTGTCTTTTTACTGTTCATTTTTTTTATCTTCTTTTTCTTAGATAAGTCCCTTTAACATTTCATATAATAAGGACTTGGTGATGATGAACTCCCTGAACTTGACCTTATCTGGGAAGCACTTTATCTGCCCTTTCATTCTAAATGAAAGCTTTGCTGGATAGAGCAATCTTGGATGTAGGTCCTTGACTTTCATGACTTGAAATACTTCTTTCCAGTCTCTTCTTGCCTGTATGGTCTCTTTTGAGAAATCAGCTGATAGTCTGATGGGAACTCCTTTGTAGGTAACTGCCTTCTTTTCTCTTGCTGATTCTAGAATTCTCTTTTTCATTTTAATCTTGGCTAATGTAATTATGATGTGCCTTGGTGTGTTCTTCCTAGGGTCCACCTTCTTTGGGACTCTCTGAACTTCCTGGGTTTCCTGGAAGTCTATTACCTTTGCCAGATTGTAGAAGTTCTCCTTTAGTATTTGTTCACATAGGTTTTCCACTTGTTGCTGTTCCTCTTTCCCTTCTGGTACCCCTATAATTCAGATGTTGGCACCTTTAAAGATGTCCTGGAGGTTCCTAATCCTCTCCTTATTTTTTGAATTGTTGTTTCTTCATTCTTTTCTGGTTGGATGTTTGTTTCTTCCTTCTGGTTCACTCCCTTGATTTGCGTCCCAGTTTCCTCCCCATCACTATTGTTTCCCTGTGCATTTTCCTTCAATTCATTTAGCGTAGCCTTCATTTTTCATCTAACTTGTGACCAAATTGAACCAATCCTGTGAGCATCCTGATTACCAGTGTTTTGAACTGTGCATCTGATAGGTCCAGGTTGGCTACTTCTTTGTCACTTAGTTGTATTATTTCTGGAGCTTTGATCTGTACTTTCATTTGGGCCATTTTTTTTGTCTTGATGTTCCTGTTAGGTAGTGAGGGGTGGAGTCTTAGGTGTTTACCTGTGTAAACGGCAACCCCTGACACTGGTTTGTGATGTAGTATGTGGGGGAGGGGTCTGAGAGAAAACAGTGGCGCTTGCTCTGCTCTCAGTCGGATTTCAGTCACTTCCCCCACTTTCCACAAGCAAATTGGGCTCTTCTAGTGCTGATTCCCAGGTGAGTGGGTTTGTGTACATCCTGGGACCCCATGAGTCTCTCCAGTGAACTCTCTTCTGAGGCCGGAAGTTTCTCCCTCTGCTGCCTCAACCACCATGGGTGTTTTCAGACAGTGGTTTGAGGCTTTATTTTCCCACACTGGAGCCCTGGGTTGTGCAGTCCTTTGACTCTCTAGTTATTTCTCCCAGTTTATCTGCATGCAAATGTGGGACCACCCAGTTTACAATCTGCTGCCTCACCGGGTCTGCCCGCTGATGCCTTGCCATCACTCCTCTTCGCCCCTCTTACTGGTCTGGTTGAATGTTTCTTCTTTTAACTCTTTGGTTGTCAGACTTCCATACAGTTCAATTTTCTGTCAGTTTTGGTTGTTTTTTGTTTTTAAATTATTGTTGTCCTGCTTTTGGTTTTGTGGAGGCACAGTGTGTCTACCTACGCCTCCATCTCTGCCGGAAGTCTGGGAAGGCCTTTCTATGTACAAGTGCAAGAGAAGGATAAAGAAAAGTGACTGTATGAGAATTAAGACTTAAAAAACACTCATCATCAATATAACAAAAGGATGCATATTTTTAATCTATGAGAAGGTTCACCAAATTAAAAACCACATAAATACATGTAATACCCCAATAGAAAAATGGTCAAAAGTCATGAATATGTAATATGGAAATTTATATTAAAATGAGTACATGTTGCCCTGGCTGGGTTGCTCAGTTGGTTAAAGCATTGTTGCAATATGCCAATATTACAGGTTTTATCCCCAGTCAGGGCACATACAAGAAGTAACCAATGAATGTATAAATAAATGGAACAACAAAGTGATGTCTCTCTCTCAAATCAATCAATAAAAAAATGTTTTAAAAATGAGTACATGTTAAATTTGTTCTTTCTTAATTTGTGAAAGAGTTAAAAATATATTACTGCTGGTAGGTGTGTGGTAAACTGAACATCCTATATTGTAAGTACAAATGTAAATTGGCAGAAATTTTGCAGGATAGCTAAGTATAGATCAACAGCCTTAAACTTACTGTGCTTCTAGAAACTTGTCATTGGAGATACAAAGATTTATACAGAAGGGTGCTCCATGAGCTTATTAAGAATATAAAACAATTTGAAAATATGTCCAACACAGAGGAATGTAAGTAAATAAATGATCATATATTTGTATGTTCTTAAGTAGTTAAAAATTGATGTCAAGACTACTGTCTGATACTGATTAAATCTAATGACTGAAAACAGTGAATAATGAAGTTGTAAATGTGTGTATGTTTGTGTGTTTTATGTTTATGTAAAATCGACCATAGCTACATATTTATGGATAAAAAGACAAATATTTATAACATATACTACTACTTGTTTTTAAAATTTTGTTCTTTATCAGTGTGATCTATGAATATAATTTAAATAATCAAATGAAAAATTGAGAAACCATTAGTCTAAGGAAACCAAGTAGTATAAAAAAAGAAATGATTATATATTGTAGCAAGTACTTAATAGTGATCAGTTCTTAATAATATTATATGTAAAATAAATATTTATGTAGGTGAAAGATCAATATGGGACGCTGGAGGGAAGAAAAATGTATGTGTGGCAAGAAAAAAGGGAGTTTGAGAGCTTTAAATCTCATAGTCCCCATCACCCATTCTGCCTTAAAATCTTCCCAGTGGAACTTACCGCAGAGTTTGTATATCAAGCCAACAAATCAGGTCATCTACTAGTTCCATTTTGTTTTTCTTGGAGACACCCATCTGGTACCTTCAGTCTAGTTGGGTGCTCACTAGGCCTGCTGCGTGACTGTCATTGCTGGTCTTTACCTCACAATCATTTTGGGTTTCATTTTCCTCTCCCTAAAATCAGATTTTCTGTTTCTTGATTTTGTTTTTTTTTTGTTTTTATTTTACTTTCTCATTTGGTATATGCAAGACTGGAAGTTATTTTTCCTAAGGTTTTTGAAGAAATTGTTCTTAAGCAGTCCTTTGGCATTTTGATTCTCAGTTTTTTTTGTGGTGTCTTTTATTCTCTTTGGAAATAAGTTCTTAATTTCTATGTTCTTATTATCACAGTGAAGCCTCTTGGAAGGGGTCTTTTTTATTAATTTTTCTGGGTACTCACTCATATTGCACTTGCAATCTGGAAATTCATGTGCTTCACTCAGTTTTGGAGAAAATTTTTAAAAGTGTATTAATCTCTTCTTTTATCTTTCCTCAATTTTACTTTTCTAATTTCTATTAATTAAATGTTGGACTGTGCCCCAATACCCTGTTTCCTATACAAAAATTAATCTTTTTCATCTTTTAAAACTTTCTGTCTTTTGTCCTACTGTCTTGGACATTTCTTCAATTTTATTTTCTAAACCTTCTAATTCTGATGAATTTATAATTTAGGTTTCATAGTTTTATTTTCTAGAGATTCATTTGTGATTAATACTATTAAAAATAGGGTCCCTTTCTTGCTTCATGAACTTAATATGCATTTTGGCTTACTATGTTTTAAATGTTGTTTAATCTTATCTGGTGTTTCTCTTTCCACTGCCTTACTTTTTGTTTGTTTCAGACCCTAATACATGTTAGTTTTCTGTACCATCTAGTGACCCTCTTGACCCTCTGCTATTTTTATGCTCATGAGTGTGCACTTAAGAGCCATTTGGAAGCTTTGTGTGGACAGAAAGGTCTGGGTGACCTCAGTGGGTGTGGTGATCAGGCTTTTTTGTTGGAGGAACTCCCAAATGTTCACCCAACACAAGCAAATGTTTACATGTTTTGGTTTTTTTTTGTATTAGAAAGAAATCGCAGCTCTGGCAGGGCAATAGCCAGTATTGTGGTATAGAAAAATGGTAGGGGCTGGAGGTCTCACCTTTCCTTTTTCAGACCTTTCTGTAAAATTCAGTTTTAAGTAGAGCCCCTGGTATCTGCCCCCAAGCTGTATTTGATGTCCACTAATTTGGAGCCCGTCTGGTCCAGCCTCTCCAGAGTTAACCTGCATCTATATGTTCCTTATTGACACTTTTTGCCAGTTTTCCTATTTTTAGTTTTTGCCTGACCTTCAGAGATAACAAGTGCTGTTTGTATCTCTTTTGATGTTTATTTATTTATTTTTGTCAGGAATTTGTTTGCTTTGGAAGAAGAGATTCTTCCAAAAGAATCTTTGAAGAGATTACTTTGCTTAGTGATTATCTTAGCCACTAAGGCATTGGGGTTTGTCTCCTCTACC